AGTGTGGTGGGCGCCCGTCCCACGGTTACAAATTGCATACTCTAAGAAGGAGTTCATCCTAGTATTGTCCATCTGCCACTGATGGAGGAGGGTCAGCCTGTTTTGGGGGGGATCCCGCCTGCCCTACAACCTTTAGATAGTATGTCAAAGCTGTAAAACTTCCTTCCATGCATCGCTGGCCCTCGAACCCCGCAGCCCTCGGCGGGGCTGGGGGGGGGGCAGGGGGGCCACGTGGTCAGCCCCCAGCCCAATGAGCGAGGGGCTCCCGAAGTTTGTCACATCTCTGAGCTCATCCATCAAGGCCCTGACATTTGCATGACAAAGGGGTTTCAATCAAACCCTGCCCATCAATCTGATAACAACACGAATACGTCAAAATCTTTCCTCAAAGACTTTAAAAGAGAGGAGGGAGGTGGGGTGCGGGGAGGTGGAGGGGAAGAGGGGCTGGGGGAAGAATTAGAATTATCTGCGACTGTTTTAAGTGCTAAAAGGGCCCCCAAGTTATGCGATTAGCCAATTTCAGCAGAACTTCCCCTTGCACCAACTTAAAAAGAAGGTTTTTCCCTGCTCTAGCTGCATATGAGAAAAAGAAAGACAGAAGGAAAAGAGGTAGGGAGGGCCGGCTACTCTGTCCCCCAAGCACAAAAGGATGCTGTTCTCTTCGTTTCAAAACTTTTCCCTAGAAAGTGGCTTGAAAGTGTTTGGTGTTTTCTGGGCTGAGGAGTCTAATAAAAGCTCCTAAGAAAAATAACGCTCCATGTGTTTTAATTTTGCCACGCCGGCTTTGTGTCTAGGGCCAGTGTGGGTAAAAGCAATGTAATCAAATCAATATTCTAATGAGGCAATGAAATAAAGTTAGGAAGACAGAATGTCTTTTGTTGGAGAAATACCATGTCCAGTTTAGCAATTAGAGGAATGGAACTAAAAATGATCATGTGTCTACCCACCTATCCATCCCTTCACCCATGCACCTACACATTTACTACTGAAAACAGGAAACTGTTTAAGGGCTTTAACCAACTCGGGAACATTAATCTCTGCTTTTCCATGGCAAAGGTGGTTTGATCTTTCCCCGAATCTCTTGTCAGACTGGAGCTTTCCCCTAGCAGAGTCCAGCTGATGAGTAGGTGGAAAGACACTGACTTCAGACCGGCCACTCCACTGCTCAGAGAATGGAAACATAGGTAGGCAGCATTTATTTACTTGTTAGCAGAGGGGAGACAAGAGCACCCAACAATATGACGCCCACAGTCATTTGTTACTTGTCAGGATATTTACTGGTTATTCAGCCTCCAAGAAGAACCAGGAGAGCTCTTTTTTTTTTTTTTTTTTTTCCCCCGGGCCAAAAGTTCACTTTGAAAGGCATAAACACGTCCTTTGGTTGGTAGGTTTGGCTGATGCAACACGTTAGGGTAACATTTGTTAAGAAACCGCAACACACGCAGCCGTGGCATCAACATTCCTCCCTCCTTTAAATCACCCCGAGAGAGAAAACGTGAGTTTTAGCCAGTCACACCTCCCGTCCTTCAATAAAAAGAATAAGGAGGAAACTATTTCCAGAGCTGCATGCCTATTTATTCATTTATTCTGGTGACTTTGCTGATGCTGAGATATTCAAGAAGAAAATCTTTTAGGTTACAAATGTTCTCTGAAACTCACTACCTCCTCTTTTTTTTTGCATAAAACAACTGAAAGTGATTATAAAGATTCAGAGCAACTCTCATGTCATTCCTCTCGCAAGAGAAATCGGTTTCTAATTTGATTCCAGGAGTGCTTTTCATATTATGTTGCGCTCGCATTTAAATTGAGTGTATTATATTTAAACGATGCTTACAATAGATGATTTATGGGTGTAAAATGAAAAAAGAAAAGGATAGATGTTTATTTCATCCTTGAATCAATTGTTTTGTATTGTCTGATAATTTTCCACTGTGATCTCACTCCACTGGTACATTAAGGAGATGTTTTATGTCATTAAAATACAGCTGTCTTCTGGAGTTCCAGGGTTAGCTCCGAGAGAGCTCACTGCTACGGAGTTATGAAGGGAAAAGTTCTGCTGTACACGTCCTCTCAGCGAAGAACTGAACCAAACTTCAGACCGGAGGCAGCTCTGGGGTAGAAGCACAGAGTTTCTTTGGTAGATGGACAAATCGGACAGGACGGGATCAAAATTTTAGCCATGAAATGCAGCAAACATCCCGACCCGAGCAGGGGATGAAATGCGGTCCTCGGGCTCCTGGGAACCCCTCCAAGCCCGGCTTTTGGGGGAAAGTGAAGATACTGGTGAGACGGGTGGGGGAAAGCAAAGATAGAGCCGAGGAGGGGATGTGCGGAGCTGAAGTCACTTTGGCAAAGCCTTTTTTGGTCCCTCTGTGGAGGTAACTGTCAGATAGCGAAGGATGGGGTGCTGGAGCCGGTGTCCTCCCGGGAAGGGGCCGCTGCCCTCCCGCTCCTCCCTGCCCCCGGGCACTGCGGGGCCGCTCGCCATCTGCTCCCCTCCGCAGCAAGCTCAGGCTCCTCACTTTTTACCTGCTCTGGGAGCCCGGGCGGCGAAACACCGGGCAGATTTCGGCGTGTGGAGGTACGGAAGGTGCTGGGTTCCCACCCCCTGCTCGGAGCCGGCACCCCCGGGGCTCCCCTGGGCTTTCCTTCCCCGAGCCGCAGGGCTGACGGCCCCGGGCAGGGCAAACGGGGTAGCTGCGCTTCAGCCCACGCTGCCCTCCGCCTGACTTCCCCAAAGTGGCATGGTCTTCCCCAAAATGCAGGGCTTGTGGCCACTGCGCGGTATTTTCGGAAGTGTCAGTGTCAACGCGCACGCAGGCACACCGGGACTCGCTTAGGAATCGCTTTCCCGAATTTCCTGCTTAGCCCCTTGCCCTGGATCCGAGGTCAAATCACTGCTGCTGTTATTATTATTGGTTTTAATCCCCCCTGTGGAGAAGGTGCGAGACCCGGTTTCGGTACAGACCCTCATAACTTGCAGGAGAAAAAAATACCAGATTACTGTTAACAACCAGTCGCCGGGTGAGCCATTTATTTCTTTAAAGCCTCCTTTACGGGGAGTTGAGGGAGGGAAGGCGGCCAAAGAAAAGGTGTAAGTGGAGATTCTCAAATTATCAAGCTCTGTCCTACACCCCGCAGTAGTTACTTAGCCTTCCATTATATTTATTACTTGATTTTCACTAATGTATTGGGGGAGACAGTAATTATTCCTGCCCCCAAAACCACAGACGGCACTGGTTTGGGGATGCCTGTCTTTCACTCCACAGAATTAAAATAAAATATCTGGAGATGGATGAGGATAGAGGCTGAGCAAGAAAGTTTTATCTCTTTGATTCCTGGGGGAAAAAAATTTAAAAAAATAAAAAAAATAAAAAATAAAGGGAAAGAAACCGTGCTGTCCAGGAGCGGGCCTGGCTGGTCCACGAGAGGCAGGGGACACCCCCTCCTTGCCTGCGGGTCCGCATTTCTTGCAGGGCGCTGGGCGCACAGCACTCCGCGCAGAGCTGCTTTCCCACTCCCCGAGCGGGCCTGAAGCGCTTTGGGAGCTCCCCCCGGCTTTATTCGATGAGCCCACAAGAAATGAGGAGCTCAGCAGCAGGATGACATCGGGTTTTTTTCCGCGGAGCTCTTGGTGGCGGGGGAGCTCTCATGCCCCCCAAAGACATCCCGTGCCCTTGGCCCCTCCACCCATCCCCGAGGCAGAGGAACGCGGTGTGACAAAACCCGGGGCAGCTCATCTCCCTAAGAGGTGGTTTGTTGGCTTTGAAGCAACTATCCTGATGTGGAGAATCGGGCCCTTCTGAAGGCGGTTTGTGGGGAAAAAAAGTTTCTTGTAAGAAATCCGTACCCTAGGAGTTTTCTGTGCAGGCGACACAGAAGGAATGAAGCACTTCCAAAGGCTCCAGAGTGCTCGGAGTCTTCAGACACTTCGTTTTGGAGTTAAATATAACTCTCCGCGGAGAAAGTTTGTGTCGTGCGTAAGAAATGTCACTTCTGGCTCCTGGCGGGGTGATTTATAAGCGGCAGCGCTGACGCTGGGGGTGCGTAGTTCGGCTGCGGACTTCGTTACCACCAAAAAGGACTTTATCCCTGGAAACTGTCAGAGAAATGTATGGCCCCGGCACGTGCCATGGTTAGGTCATAGCTTGCTAAGCTATATTTGGGGCGAAACACTGAAGAGGGAGAAGAAGTATATGGAAAAATGCTTCAGTTTGGGAGTCCAAAGAAATACACAAGGAATCCTCTTAACGAGTCACAAGCACGGGGCTATCTCCGAGCTGCAGAATAAGTACGAGGCAATTAAGATAAGATATAATAGTTGTTCTCTGCCGCTCTCGGGAGCAGCGGCGGGGACCGGCTCGTCAGTGGCCTCCCCGCGGTGTCGGGTCGGGGTAGGGACCGGCACCGGCACC